GACATGGGTAGGTGGGTTGACAAAGGTTAGGGACAGGTTTAGTGGTATGAGTTGTTGGATTGGTTAAAGCTAGGACAGGATTAGAGGTATGGGTAGTTAGCTTGATTAAGGTAAAGACAGGTTTAGTAGTATAGGTAGGTGGGATGTTTAAGGTTAGAAAATGTTTAGTGGTGTGGGTGGGTGGGTTGGTCAAGGTTAGGACAAGTTTAGTGGTATGGGTTGGTGGGTTGGTTAAGGTTAGAGAATGGTTTTGTGGTATGGGTAGGTTAAGGGTTGAATAAGGTAATGACAGGTTTAGTGGTATGGGTAGGTTAAGGTTAGATATGGGTTTAGTAGTATAGGTGGGTGGGTTGTTTAAAGTAAGGGACGAGTTTAGTAGTATGGATAAGTGGGTTGGCTAAGTTTATTGACAGGTTTAGTGGTATGGGTATGTGGGTTTGTTCAGGTTAGAGACTGGTTTTGTGGTATTGGTAGGTTATGGGTTGAATAAGGTTAGGACAGGTTTAGTGGTATGGGTAGGTGGGTTGGCTAAGGTTAGGGATTAGTTTAGTAATATGGGTAAGTGGAAGTTAGATTAGTGACAGGTTTAGTGATATGGATAGTTTAAGGATTTGTTATTATCAGGGACAAGTTTAGTACTGGTAGGTGGGATGGCAAAGGTTAGAGAAAAGGTTTAGTACTGTGGGCAGGTTAAGGGTTGGTTAATGTTAGAGTCTGGTTTAGTGGTATGGGCCTTTAAGGGTTGCTAAAGGTCAGCATTATGATTACAGATATGTTTACATAAATTAATTACACCTGTATTTATAAAAATGAAGTCAAACATGTATGAAGCAACCAAATAGTTCATTTAAATGTTAGTATACAATAGTTAATGAGACTAAATGTAAATTGGGTCGTTAACAATGAAACTCCTATCAAAGTCTTAAAAGGACAGTAGCTGAAGGCTCTGAGAAAGACTCCAGACTGCTCATGAAACAGAACTGAACTGTGGTTGTTTTTGCTGCAGGAGGTGGTGAAAGAAGAGCAGTGTGTCCTCTTCAAATGTGTGAGTGTGTTAGCACTGCTGCTGTTATACGTACACACGATGCCCTCAGGGCCACACACATGCCTCTCCATGCATTGGTCACACTTCAGTCCGCTGGCACCGGGACGGCACTGGCACTGCCCAGAGTGAGAGTCACACGCTGAGGGGAAAGCACCGTACGGGTCACACTTACACTCCTCACAGCGGCCGCCCAGCACCCCGGGGTCACCGTGAAAACCAGGAGCGCACCTGCCCAGAGCAGAGCCACGGTTAATGCACAGAATGAAGGCTACAGTTTGGTGAACTCTTGTGTTTAGCATGTTGAAGAGGTGTGTGTGTGTGTGTGTGTGTGTGTGTGTGTGTGTGAATGTGTCACAAAATAACTGTACATGATGCCTTTTAAACAGCACCCACTGGTCTTTTTTACTTTTGATTTGGCTCACATTAAACTAACCCTAAGTGGGTGTAGAATGCAGGTTTATTTCCTCCACACTGGCAGGTTGAGGCATGTAAGTGAGCGCTTGTTTTACATCATTTGGTGGTATTTTCCTCACCTTTCACAGTGTTTTCCCTCGTAGCCTTCAGGACAGGCGGTGCAGCGGTACTCATTAAAACCCTCCGTCTGACAGGTGGGACTGAAGCTGAGAGATACAGAGCAGCGGTTACATTGTGTGTGTGTGTGTGTGAGTGAGTGAGTGTATATGAGTGAATGAGTGAGTGAATGAGTA